CACACACACACACACACCTCCTCCCATTGTCACGTGACGTGGGCCGCACAAAGCTATTATTCCCCTTGCTCTTCCCGTGTGCGCGCGCGCGCGTGTACTATATGTGTCGCGCGCGGCCACGCGCATGTGTAGACTTGTATTACATGGTGAAAGAGAATACATAATACACCGCGGCCCTGGGGCTTTATGTAATATCGCTACGATACGCTGCGAGCTGCTGAGAAGAATCGGGGGTAGGACGGAGGCGGAATAGCGGGAAGCGATGTGGAAGTCACGTAGGCCGCTTTGGTCCGACGATGACGGCGGCCGTTACTGCTGTTGCAGTCGTCGAGACATCGAATTATCGCGAAGTTTCCGACAGTGCCGGAATACGAATGAATCCGACGAAAACACGGTGCGTCGGGCAAATGGATGTCCAGGTGGAAAATAACTCGTAATCCCGAATGGGACAGCGCTCTATTCTGCCCCCCTCCTTCCCTCCCTTCCCTCTCTCTCTCTCTCTCTCTCTCTCTCTCTCTCTCTACATATATACACATATATATTTATCTCCCTTTATTCCGCTCAGCGGGATTCAATCGTTAATGGGCCACTGAAACTCTCTCGACGAGTGTTAACCTTTGACCGCTACACGATGGGCTTACACGGGTGATAAATGCACCACAGACGTTTAACTCGCGATTTCCAATATTTGCTGCACAACTTTGGAGCACCGTATTAGATCTCTCTAATGGATCGTCCGGCCGCGGCGTTGCCAAAACGCAGCGAAAGCATCGGGATATTTTTGCCAAAAATCGCTACTTCTGGAATCGGCGGCTGCATCCGAAAAGTTTTCACGGAATGTTCCAACTTTTCACCGTAACGTCCTCCTGAGGCACCGAGAAACTTCCCGAGACAAGTCTCAAACGAGAAGAGATCTCAAGGAAGAAATAACGAGTCGCACTGAGACCTGTTGGGTCTCAATGTAATATTCGACTTTTGGCAGAAGCGATGTTTCGATCATTTGGATTTTTGGTCAATCGACCGTCGAGTCGCACCACCGTTTTGCTCGCACGGATGTTAGAGGTTTTGGTGGAAGGGTCGACGGCAAATGCTATGTGACGTAACGCGTAATGCAATATGTAAGATATACATGTCTTGGTCTCGCCGAGATAGTTCATAAAATGACGTCGTATATACAGGATTGCTTCAACAGGCAGACGAGATCGAACGACGAAGGCGAGACGTGCTGCACATAAGCGTAACGTAACACGTCATGCGACATGACAACGAGTATACGTAGCTCAAAGGAAGGCAGAGGAGGCCGCGCGTGTGGGTGGAACGATTGGATTAATTTATCATGCGGCAGCGTTACCCAGGCTCGTAAGATCCATGGAGGAAGCGACGTTTCTATCGTTAAGCACAAAGTACGAGTGGTAAACGGGTAAAAGCGGAATGAAGCTTGGAGGAGCAATTGATGATTTAATTTTCCGCGATAGGTTTCGCTCGACATCGATAAAGCGCGCTCGACAGAATTCCGGGACGTTCGATGGTTTGACACTACGATACGTCTCGTGTATGGGGAAATTTCATTCCGCGATCTTCGAGTGTATCCGCACTGAATCCTCTGTACTCGAGTACAGTGTGTGGGTGGGTGTGTGCGTACGTCTACATATTAATATAATATAATATAATATAATATTACGGGAAAATGTATCAAACAAATAAAAGATATTTATTCGACGGCTACTGATAACATATTTATTCGCATCAACGTATTTACAAGAGAATATACATTTTTATATATTGGGAAATATTCTGTTTCAAATGAGAAAATACACATTCGTTCGAAGCAGTTTCTTCTTCATGTGAAAGCGATTGTTTGTTCCATGATAAATGAAAAGAAAAATGTACATCCATGCAAATATGTTACAAGTACCTACCGAAAAAATATTTTATATTTCTTCGAATAGAGAGAGCTTCCTCTTCGTGCGAAAGCGATTTTTTGTTTCATTTAAATGAAAAAAATGCACATCTATGCAAATATGTCACAAATATCTACCGAAAAAACATTTGCATGTATGGTACGTGTGTGTGTGTGTGTGTGTGTGTGTGTGTGAGGAAAGATTTGCTATTTTAATCGGCGTTTCAGCCGAAAGTGAAGAATCTCGCGCGCGTACTTTCGTCCGTAGCACGTAACTCCTTTCGAGTTACGTAAGCGCTCAGGCGTTTATGGTCATGCCGAATAACGATACACGCGAGAGAGAGACGACTGCCTCTCGAGCCGTTAATTCGTCGGGCAGCCTACGGGCTGCCCGACGAGCGATCGCTTGAAATTCCCGGCGTGTGATAGAAATGCTCAGCCGCGGCCAACGCTCGCTTGCGTATTCAGCATCTTGTCTTTTCGGTCATTCACATTTGCAGGAGCTTCTCTCAGGTCGCCTCATCCGGGTTCGCGGGTGCGTGTCGCGTGGCCATGCGTGCGGCAGAAACACGCGTTATCGTAATCTGCTTTCCGAGCGTATCGCGTCTCTCGCTGCCGACGCCATAACGTGGACGTGTAACGCGTTCCCGGCCTCGACTTTCTGCTCACGTAGGGGCGAAGGAAAAAGGGAGGAAAAAATGCGGGGCAAGAGAATTCGAGAGGAGACGCGGCTCTGGCCGCCGTGTGTCGCATTCGGCGCCTCACTCGCTGTCCCTTTTCCGAGATTGAAAATTCCGTTTCGCCGCCGACGCCAAAGTCGCCGCGCTGCCGCGTGCTCTCGACTCAAAATCCGGAAGGAACTGTTTACAAGTCCCGAGATTCTTGTCGCGACTGATCCCACGATAACGTTACATCACCGTCGATACTTATTCTTAGCACGTTACTCATAGCCTTGCAGGTCGTTACCCGGCGAGTGGCGAAATAGTTTTGGGCGAACGACTTTGCGAGATCGCGAGACCCGTCCCCTCTCGCCTCCTCCAGCCGAGAAGTCCGTTACGCGTCGCGCACAAGTGCGAGTTGTTCAATCGCGTGCGCTTAATTATTTATCGATAAATCGCGCGTACCGCGCGGCGACCGGCGATTATCTCGCCGATTTGGACGTTCCTCCGAGCGGGAAGTCGCGCGCGCGTGGGCGTGCATTCTCGCGGTGCCGTTTAATTGAAAGCCCGGCTGGATGACTTTCGGCCGTTACATCATTCGATTACGCGTATTAAAGTGACGGATCGGCGGCGGTAAACAACGCAACACACAACGCGGGAACGCGTACGCGAGCGTCGCGACGCAGTCCGGCCAATATTACATTTGATCTGATATCGCATTTCATCCAATTACAGCTGCACTCTAATTTACACCTCTCTCTCTCTCTCTCTCTCTCTCTCTCTCTCTCTCTCTCCCTCTCTCTGTGCCCTCTCGCCGGCTCAACAAAAAGCCGCCCTTGCGGCGGCCGCGAAATGAACTATCGATTTTGCATTAGCTATATAACGAGCGCGGCCGCGACGCCAGTTTCGCATTTCGTTACGGGATATAAATCGCCATCGGTCGCGGCCGAGAAGACTAGCGCCTGCGCGATCGATCGATCGATCGATTGATCGGTCGGCCGATCGACCGTCGATCGCGACGAATTAACACGCCGGATATGTCGCTCAATTGAACAGCGAAATTTAATTAATCATCTTCCGAGCCATCGACTCGAGATATAAATTCGGAATCGTCGGATGTTGATCCTCTCGTCTCTCATCAGTGAGGGATTTATGTTCCATTTACAAGCTCCCTTAACCGCTCGTTTTTTTCCTTCTCCTCAACAACCACTCGTCTCGACAAGAGTCGACCGGGGAAGAAAAGAGCTTAATTCCGTCGTCGTAAAAGGATCCCGAAGATAGAGCCATCTTCGATGGCCACCGTCGTGGATTACCGATAATCTGAAGATAATTAATATCCCGCTTCTTCTTATGCTAAAGGATGAAGCCACGATCTCGCATAGGATATAGGAGGAGCGTTAGCAATTTGCCGATCAGCGTGCCTAACGCGACGTGCGCGTTATACCATGCTCTTTTTCTCATATCTATTAACGCTCCTTGAGCTTTCATTGCACGTCGGTGAACTCCGCGAGATATCGTGTGGTCGACGACGCGGCGGAATTGGCAAGTTTCCTGCAAATTAAAGCGTATTCGACGGCGTGCCAAGTTTAGCCGGACGTGCGTGAGCAAACAGAGATAACTATGCCGATGCACGGCCAAAACGCGAGGGTCAGAGCAACGGTGGCGGGGCGGGGGGGGGGAAGAGAGAGAGAGAGAGAGAGTGAGTAAAAGGGAGAGAGGGATGGATAGAGCGACAGAGGGGGGAGAGAAAGAGAGAATTACACGCGTCGAGAGGGCCGAGAATGGACGGGAATCGTCGGTGAGATAATATTTATTATCCCACGGCGTCGTCGTTACCGTCGACGATTATATGCCAGTTAAAATCCGAAATTACGAGTCGCGCCCCTGCCCCCGCAACCTCGCCTCCACGCAGGAAAACAGAAACGGTATGCTGCCTAGTAGTAATGGAATGCGCAAAGTTAAATTGGTGCGAAAGCAGAACGAACGCTCATTTTTTTCACGGCGGACGCGTGCTCGCGCTCGCACGCAAAAAACAAAACCGCCGTTGGTTCGCATGAAAAACGTCGGGGGCGAAACGGCGTGTTTACTTTTCCGATAAATCGACACGTTGATTGGTACGTTGATTGATACACGGCGCGCGGTAGTTGGCTGACTTCAACGTCGGAATTCTTTGACGAGAGAGCCCGACGTTAATTTCTCGATGCTCGTTGCAGTCTCTCGTCCCGTCATAGCCCGACTTGATATCCGGGATTGAACGTCGCGACGGTCATTCAAATTTGCATATACACAGGTCGCGGCGTACACATACACACACGTAAACACGATATATACGTGCGAGGGGGATCTCCGTACAATCAGACTTGATAGCTCAAGTCGGAGCTGTTATCTCTCGCGCAGTTTCATCCGAAGTATACCACCTAAGTCTAAGTAACTTCACATACCTCGTCCTCGTGACTGCCAAATACTTCTGCCCCTCTGGCGCGCTGTCCTCGAGAAGAGACTGGGTCTGCAACGAAAAGCAACAGAGAATTATTTCACTTACTCTCGCACTTCTTTCTCAGCGCCATTCGTCAGTCGCCGGACGAGTGAGTAGTAACTCACCGCTCACCGTTGCTTTCGCCCGCGCGATTATTTCTCAATTAATAAAAGGGATTAAACGCGCAAGGGGGAGAGACGCCGCGTAAGATTCCCGCCCGTCTATTAGATTCCTCCCGAGGTAAGGCCGCGCGAACAAAAACACCCGCGGGCGCGCCCCCCATTCAGCTGAATAAAAACCAAATTGTCCCCGTATATATCCGGAAATCCCTTTTCTCCCCCTCTCGCCTCCGGTAAAAACGACGACGCACGTGCGCTTCTAATCGCTTTTTCCTATGCGAACCACTCACGTATCTCCCCCTCTCCCCCCCCCCTAGGCGGCCGTTTCCTCCCTCGACGCGTTTGCGTCCTCTCCCTGCCAGCCGCGGCCGAAGCGCCGCGCTATTTGTACGAAAATTAGTAGTCTCTCGCACGATGAAATCGCATCGAGCGAGCGGGCGCGCTCATCCCCCACCCTCTATCCCTACTCACCCCCGGAAGTGCGAACCGCGAGGGAGCGGAGAGAGGAGCAGCGCGCCTCTATAACGTATGCGCGTTCTTCGGACGCTCAAGACGAGGAGAAAAAGACGAGAAGGCGAAAAAAGACGGGGCGAGCGGAAAAGCGGCCGCGACGGAGCGGGCGGCGCGGCGGGGCGGGGCGGGGGCGGCTGAGACATTTGTCAATGTTGCGCCCCTTACCTTAGCCTAGTGGAGAAACGTACGACGGTCATATACGACGCGGAACGGTGTGTACGCGCACTCCACGTACGGTACAGGGCTTTTCAACGAGGTCCCTTGAAATATGGGATCCGCTGGACAAAGCGACCCTCTCTCTCTCTCTCTCTCCCTCTCTCTCTCTCTTTCTTTCCCCCCCCTCTCTCTCTCTCCTCTCTCTCTCTCTCTCTCTCTCTCCCGAGGGACCTCCTGATAACCCTCGAAAGTGAATGTAGTCTGGCGCTCGCTTGCTCGCGGGAGAAGCAGCAAAACATCGCGTGCTCCAGCGCGGCGCAGCCTCCGGGGACCAGTCAGCGGCGCCGAGCGAGTATGTGATATATACCCCGCGTCTGTTCCCTCTCACTATTTTTCCGCGGCAATCGTTACTTTCATGGGAAATTAACCGCCTTTTTTCTCCTCTTTCTCCCCCCCCCGCACCCGTCTAACCGGCCTCTCTCTATCTCTCGTTGCTCCGGCTTTTTTTTTCTTCCCTTCTTTTCCGGTTTTTGCCACGGCTGCTAGCCCAAGTCGCCGGTCGACACACGCCGCTATATCTATCGCCAGCGCCGGCGATGTGACCGAACGGGCGTCACAATGGCCGCCGCCTTTGTTTCCGGCTATTGTCGATAGCTCTCCCCGTTAAGCTAGCAGTCCCGGGCCTCGCAAATCGGATCCCGGGCGTGTGCCAACAATGAGCGCTATTTGGGCACTAATTTACCGCGCCGTTCCCCGCGTCGTCGATATATCGCGCGGGAATTTGCGTCTAGGAAGTTTTCGGATTGCTCCGGGGGACGGCGATGCGCGCCGGCGTTCTCTCTCTCTCTCTCTCTCTCTCTCTCTCTCTCTCTCTCTCTCTCTCTCTCTCTATGTCTCTATCTCTCTAGCTCTCTCTTTATCTATCTATCTATCTATCTCTATCTTTCTCTCCTCTCTCACGGGGATTGATAGATCTCCCGAGTCACGCAACAGTATAGCGCAAGTAAAGGAAGCGCAAAAACAAATAGAAAGGAAGGAACAACGCGTACTTGGTCTGAATAAACGTGTTACACGCTGCAGAATCAGACGGGGGAGTATGGATGGATGGACAAAAAAGAGAAAGGGAGAGAGAGAAAGTTTAATACCATACAAACTCTCGTATTTACGTTAACACTACTGCCCTGTGCGCAGAGTTTCGTTCGCGTAGAAAAAACTACCGTCATTATAAAAGTTTAAATATCGTTGATTTACGGTAACTCTATCGTAAACGATAAAAATGATGTTGGAGAGACGAGTGATTTTTCGAGCGGCGGGTACTTCTAACTTTTTTTCTTTTTTCCTTTCTCTCTCTCTCTCTCTCTCTCTCTCTCTCTCTCTCTCTCTCTCTCGCTCCTTTCCTCCCCCTCTCACTTTTTCTTCCGAGCGTTGACGATTGAATTTTACAACTGTATAAATACGACGACGCATCGTCAAGCGAGAACGTTTCGTGAGCTTTTTTCTCTTTTGCTCCGTTCTTTTTTTCTTCTTTCCCCTCGTTCATCCCGAGCGAGGAAACGGTGATGCCGAGCATGGACGGGCAGACGAGGAGGGCAAGAGGAGGGGGGACCTACGAAAAAGGAGGCATTTTCTCGTTGCAAGATTTACGACGTCCAAGTATCGACGAAAGGAGAAGGAGGAGAAGAAGGTGAAGGAGGAGAAGGAGAAGGAGGAGGAGGAGGAGGAGGAGGTGATGGTGGAGGAGAAGGAAGAGGGCGAAAACGCAGAACCCGAGGAGTTTTCCAGTCTGAATCGCTGGAAAATCGACGGTGACGCCGACGAGAATGTCCCTGTATCTATTTTCTTGCCTTCGTTCCTTCCTTCGTTGGATGGCGAATGGCCGTTCACGAGCGCGCAGGGTTAATTTTTAAAGTTCCAGACGAACGGAACGACCAGCAACTCACGTTTCGCTCGTGCTCGATTTCACGAGCCGGGATTATTGATTGTTCGCGATCGCTCGCCTAAAGGCACAGAGAGAGAGAGAGAGAGAGAGAAAGAGAGAGAGAGAGAGAAAGAAGGGGGAGGGGGCGGAGAGAGGGAGAAAGAGAACTTGGGGTTACCAGCAACATATCAGTTTCAAGTCGCAACACAATCTGCACGCATAATTTACCAACCATTATAATAAACGTATTACATACGCCGTGACTAAAGCAGCGTACCAAATAAAAAATCACACTCGACAAGGATTTTCTCACTGACGGAGAATTTCGGGGCAAAAACTCGTTGGGAATTATATATCAAAATTAAAAAATTCCTTTCGAGCAACACACGATAGCTTCCTCATCGTGTAACGTGCCGCGCAAACACGATATTAAATTTCGGCCTATAATAAAGCTCATTTGCATAAGGAAAGAGAACTTTTCGGTATGCGTTAATCACATGTTCTCGTTTCCATATAATGAACCGTCTCATTAATACCCTTTCCGAAGGTTTACCCGCAAAGTAAATTTACCGAATATCCATATCGGCGAGAAACAGAGACGGGATCGCGGTCGTATCCGACGGTAGACGGAAAATCAAGCGAATATGCGAAGCTCATTTTTTGTTTTCTTTTTTGTTCTCTTTCTCCCCCAAAAGTTGCTATATTATACGTCTGACGTGCCGATATCGCGGCCGCGTATCCGTGCTCTGCATTTCACGCGGTCAGAGGAAAATCCACGGCGAATACGCCGTGGATTCAGCTCACCACGTCGCCGCCGCTTCCCTTCCTCATCGGCTACGACCCAGGTTAATTTTAAAAAGACCGAGACGAATGAATCGCTTCGATTCCTTCCTTCATCTCCTCTTTCCCCTCCTACGTTAGCTGCTCTAGCCGCCGTCCCCCCTTTGCCAAAGCTCAAGTTCACGTTAGAATTATCGATTGTATGCGATCGAGTTTCATGAAGTCCGAAGACTACGACTTGTACAAGAAGGCCGGTGAAACAGAGGTAGAATGACAGGAATGAAGTGAAAGAGACGGAATGTATGTATGCGTTATGTGAAACAAAGAGAGAGAGAGAGAGAGAGAGGCAGAGAGAATGAGCGAAGGAGAGAAGAGCGAGGCGAAGAGAGAGAGAGGTGCTGAGGGTTGAACGAACGAACCCCCGAATACGTTTTGCAAGGCGCGACGGAGTAACTTTATTTACCTGAAACTTGGGCTTTCAATCTTGATAGAGTATGCCTCGTTGCTGCCAAATACGAATATTGATTAGGGACGGCAGATATTGATCACACGGCGGGATCTACGACGACGGGAAACTTTCGTGACGGATGTGCGCGTCGCGCAACGCGTAGAACGGTGTCATATTCGACGTTATCCCGTCGTCATTTCGAATTCTTACATCGTTGCGCCATTTGCGGGACGTAAAGTGCCGCTACGCTCGCAACGGAACGGTCGATTTTTACCATCGAACGAACCGTTATAAAAAGCAAAGTTATAGAAAATGAAAAAAAAAAAGAAAAAGAAGAAGAAGAAGAAGAAGAAGAAGGAGAAAAAGCCGCGTGCTCCGGAAGGATAATGCCGAGGACTTCGGTACCAGGATCAAGTGCGACGATGGATTTACGGTGCTCGAGTGGTCCTTTACGGTCGAGGTAGCAGGGTCTGTCTAGGATACTGAGCCTGGGGCGAGGATTGTTCAGCTAGTGTCACGAGAAGCGATTTAAGCTCGATTCTAGCCGTGGATTACCGCGAGATCCTTCGACCCGGGCCGAGCGTTAGGATTACAGACCCTCGTTGATGCTAAACTCGATCCACACGCTCGACTCCCTTCCGCCGGACAGTGCCGATTAACCTCGCGCCATTTTGTCGCCGGCACGTCCAAATGCAACACGATCAGAATTTACATTTGAAACTCCCTTCAATTTTTACGTGGACCTTCCTGTGTGCCGCGCGTGCGCGCGCGTGAAAACTCCGGGCGCGGCCCGGAGAAAACACGACAGGACGCGACGGATCGGACCGCTCGCGTAGCGATACGTGTAGATGAACAAAAATCTGCTTCCCGCAAACGCGACAATCCACGAGATACATCCGGTACGCGCTCGCTTTATCGCTCGCCAGAAGTAGTACCGCAACGTCGAAAACAAATCGCGGGCGCGTACGTCGGCGCGGGGATAACGAGAGGATAAGAAAACCAGCGGGGAAATTCAACAATCAAACCGGGAAATCTCCCGGACAAACATTTTCATCTGTTCACGGGTGGTGGTCGGAAATTGGGCTGCTTGAATAAT